ATTAAACCCCTGTTTGAGCCCCATTCTTTAAAATTCAATTTTCTCACGTAAACCCAAAATTTTCACAACTTTTAAACCACAAATTCTCTAAAAACAATTTCATTTATTACAAAATATTTTCTCAATAAATGGGGCTCAAACATGGGCTAAGATTTATTATATGTTGCCTCGTAGGGGTTGAACTTGGCTACAAAATAGTTTACATCAACCAAAAGAAGACAAAATAATTGAAAAGAACATAACATGGACAGAATGTTAGATTGTTTGATCTTTTTGGGTTTAATGTGCTGCAACCTGATGCAACATTTGAAGTACAGATTAATTCAAAAAAGTTGACTCATTTAACAGTATGAAATTTGAGTTGAGTTATTTGTAAATTCATGAGATATACTAGCAGAATATTTATCTTGGATATTTACTCACTTGATCATCAACAGTAACAGGGGTTCCCACACTTTCTGGACTTCTCGCCTGATTTTCTTTACAGGAGAAAACACAAAAATGTTAGATGAACTGTCGTTGACAAAGCAGGAAATCAGATGAGGAAAGCAAGGCACAAATTATGAAGTCCTGTTCTGGCCACACAAAAACTTTTTTGCATACAAGGAAACATCTGGTGGTAGAAAATAGTTTCTAACACAGTAAATAATTTTTGAAATAAATAACGTTTTTTATTGGAAAAATTTGGAAATAAGTTACTTATGTTGACACCAAGGTGAGGGTTTCAAACTTACTTTTTTCACTTACAAGTAAGAAAAAAGTAATATATCGAAGCATGTTTGGAAACAAATGGTTACTCAATAGTATCATTTTACTTTTTTCTTTAAGGCTTAGCAACATACTTTGAACGGCTTTAAAACATGGTTACCTGACCAGTTCACAATTGATAACAGGTTTCAACACTCTCATTTCTGTTTTGTGAGTATAGAAAAGCGTCAAACTAAAAGGGCCTCACAATTGGTAACAGGTTTAGTACTCATTGAGATTGAAATCAAGGGCCTCAAGGTCAAATCCTTTATCTATTGTCATTTTCCGTAAGCCATTGGGACCAGCACTCTCACGTTTATATTATTGAAGGACCAGTAGAAATTTCCCTACGCAGTCAATCTAAAAGTTAGGAAGCAAACATTACCAGAACTCTGAGATGTATCCTGATGTTGAAGATTATTAGACTTGATCTTTAACAACTCATCCTCCCCAAATTTGGCTTCTTCAAAGTTCTTCTCAGGATTACTGGAGGATGCCCATTTGCATAAAGTGAAATGTGGCAACTCTCTGTCAGGGCCAGCTGAAAAGATAGAATTCAAAATTAATAATAAGCACAGGGCTAAATTTAAGAAAGCTACATTTTCTATTCGTTTCAACGTGGGGCAAAAAGTAGGGAGAGTGCGAAACTTTATGCGCGTGAATGGGAAAAAAAGCATATCCTTGAGAGTAATTTACAAAGTTATATTCCAAGCTTTCCAACCCTTATCTCTGCATTTAGTTGTCTTTTCTAAATTAGGATAAAGTCAAAATCTAGGATTTTAAGAATATTTCCTTGAAGCAAATCGATTGTGGCAAAAAGATAAGCAATAAAAATACCAGATTGCTCATTCACTTGCAAAGTTGTTGAAGCAGGGTGAAATTTGAGGTCAAACAAGGTACTGTTGATACGTGAAGCACCCATTGAATATCGTGCACTAGCTAACTCCAACCATCCCTGCATAACAAATAGACATCAAACAAATTTTCACTAAAATTGGTCAAACTTGCAATTAAAATAGTTTTAATCTATGAAAATCACAGTGGGGATAATAGTATAATCCTAAGATTTATTGTTACTTGGAACTAAAATGAAATGATAGAAGATGTCCTCATAACAATAGTAAAAATGGTGATAATGAAGTTATTTCAAAAAGTAATTGTTTTAAGTGCTATGGTTCGATCAATAATGAGAAAGGATGGCTCAAACATGGTGTGAAGAATAAGATAAGAGCGAGTTGGGCAAAATGTACAAGATTTCATTTGGAAAAAATCTGTAAAAATAAAAAGATAAGTTGTACAGACAAAATGTACATAAATGAACATTAACTCGAAAGTCTAATTGCATAAAAAATAGTCCAATATAAGTTCTCAAGTGTTCTATGTCATAAGGAGAAGTCAGGAATGGAAAAACATGCAGAAGGGCTAACTACGGAAGAAAGGGTTACAGGAGCAGGATTAACCGAAATACCAGAAAGTGAAATGAAGGGAATGTAGCTGTTGCAACTTCAGGATAAGATGATGAAAATTGCCTTTTATGTTGCTTTTAATTAGAATGAATCATAATAACTAGAAACACGATTTCTTTAAATATACAGCTAAACACATGGCATCTAGTGGGTTTTAGGAGGTGAGGGTATATCAGTGATGATTTGGAGAGAGGATAATCTGTCTTGTTCATTGCAGTATTGCAGAATTTCAGTTACACGAATATCCTTCCCATTTCTCTCTTCTCCCACCTCTAGTCTCATTTTGTTCATCAGCTTAATAAAAAGTTCAGTCCAAATTGCTCAATTTGTATGTTGAATTTTTTTTATTGTATTGGTCTGGGTTGGGTTATATTCTGTTGAGATTCAACCATTACATTCTATTATAATAACTTGGAAAGGGCAAACTTTGAACTTCTCAAGAACACTATGAACACATATTTCTAGGTGGTAATGGGTATTTGATTCCCCTATCTGCCTTGCAATCTAACTTTATGTTTGTTTTGTCAACTTCACGATGTTTTCTACAATACACTTGGATCGTCAAGACAAAAAGAAGATGAAACCAGGAATCTTGCACCAACATGATAGGGCTAGTATCTTTTAACATTATTGGTGAGGTAATTCTTTTTTTTTTTTGATAACTATGGATGTTCCGGCCAGCTTGCGCGCACTTCGACTAATTCCACGGCCTGAAGTTTACGACCGGGTACTCACCTCAATGGCCTGAGGGGACTCGAACCGGTGACCATTGACCAATTGAGCAACCCAAGACGTGACCAATTGGTGAGGTAATTCTGTTTTCTATATATTCAAGAATCTTGAAACTTTACCTCATCATTGGTGATGCGAAAACAGTCATAAAAATTAATGCAATCTTGAAACTCAAAAATATTTAGAAGAGCAAAAATTTCAGACGTACAATTATACATACAAATTTCATATTTTTCTTACAAATAAAAATTCAGAAATCAAGGAAAATAAATCTGAATATTGTTTGCAGATTATTTGTTTTCTTTTACCTGAACATGCCCACAGATATAACAGAAAGAATAAGCACTTTTCAATCAAAATGATGCTGGTTTTATGCACTCCAGTAAAAAGGGAACCCATGAGATGATCCAAAAGAACAAAATGGGAGATCTAATCAATAAAAAATCAATTTTTCAGTGAAGGAAATTGATAATACAGAAAAGAGAAATTTTACCTGGCGGAGTGTTGAAGACAAGGAATCCATAAGAATTAGATAGGTATCCATGGAGTCCAAAAAATTTATTATATTTTCTTCTCTCTCAGAAATTACTTCATTTGATTCTCTACCATTCTTAGAACTCTCCATTTTATCCGTGATTTTTGCTGTCTCGGGAAAAAAAATTGAAAAATTTGCAAGAGATTCGATTCGGTATATTAGCAGAAAACGGGAAGAGATGCAAAAGAGAGACCTCGTTTTACAATCAGAGCCGCTGGGTGAATTTTGCCCTAAAATCGTGCTTAGGGTCTCATTTGCGCTTTTCACTGATAAATCGCGTTCTAATGGCTTCAATCTATTATCTACACGTTCAATCAATTTTTCAAAGCAACAAAATTAAATAAATTTAAATTTAATTAATATAGTATATTGAATTTTTTAGCCAGATTGTCTGGCACATCATGAAATATTAATGAAACTGTCAACGTAATTGTCGGTGTAGCAAAACTGCATTCTTCAAACCTCAACTTGCAATTGTTCGCTCACTACGACCTCTAGCCCTCTGCAATTGCTAGGGCAGAGCCATTCCTAGTCCAATACTAGTGAATAATGTTATTTATCATTATGATAATGAAATATCGGTGATGTAATGTAAGATTAAACGGTTCGATTTTTATGAAAGGGAAAAGGCGGAATGTACAGTATTTTTACACATATTTTGACAGCTCTCTCACATGGGGGTGGG